CCTTCCAGCCACGGGGCGAAGTCTTCAATCTTGTATCTTCATAGTCCAGGAGTCCGGCCGAAGGTATAGTCCGGCTATCCGGATACCCCCTAATCCAGGACACCCTCACTTGTCCCCTTTATAAAGAGGTTTAACATCAAGCGTCCTCCTCGTGGCCGTTTGGGACTTGCCTAAGATCTAGGAGTCCTACCAATAGGCATGGTTGGGCTACCCACGTCCGTATTGATGAGAATCCCGTAATACAGGGGACACAGTCTCTGCTTCAACAAGACGTGCCAAGGAAACCGCCTCGCGAAACACGCTGAGATGGGTTATCAAAAATGATTTGAATAAAGACTTGGCTGTGGCGTGATGTAACACTACGGGGTACGTCAGCAGATTAGATTTGTGGAAATATTATTCTCTCTACGGTGGTATGTGGAACTTGTTTTGCAGAGCCGGACACAATCCTCATGTTCAAGATCTTCTATGAAGTATTCGGAGGAGGAACCCGCCTTGCAATGCTGAAGACAATCTGCATGCCGGACTCATCGTCATTGAAGCCTGGTTCAGGGGCTACTGAGGGAGTCCTGGATTAGGGGGTATCCGGACAGCCAGACTGTTGGACTATGAAGATACAAGATTGAAGACTTCGTCCCGTGTCCGGATGGGACTCTCCTTGGCATGGAAGGCAAGCTTGGCAATACGGATATGTAGATCTCCTTCCTTGTAACCGACTTTGTGTGACCCTAGCCCCCTCCAGTGTCTATATAAACTGGACGGTTTAGTCCGTAGGACCGACAACAACAATCATACCATAGGCTAGCTTCTAGGGTTTAGCCTCTTTGATCTCGTGGTAGATCAACTCTTGTAATACTCATATCATCAAGATCAATCAAGCAGGAGTAGGGTTTTACCTCCATCGAGAGGGCCCGAACCTGGGTAAAAACATCGTGTCCCCCGTCTCCTGTTACCATTCGCCTAGACGCACAGTTCGGGACCCCCTACCCGAGATCTGCCGGTTTTGACACCGACACAAGCCATTAAGCAACACCTCATCCCCTTTTAATAGTATTGGCCTTTCCTATGGACTCAATATGATCTTGGATCACTAAAATGAAAATGTAGTCTTGAGCTTGAGCCAATTTGTGTCCTTAGCATTTTGAGGGGTCCACATTCCTAACCCATGCCATGCCAATCATTGAACTTTTTGAAATGATCATCTTGAAATAGCATTAGTTCAATGAGCTATATGTTGTTAGGAATTACCAAAGCCACCCAGGGATAGTTGCACTTTCACTCGAGCGGGATCCCGAAGCCATCGTCGCCTTCCCTTGCCGCCGCCGGCTCACATCATCAGTGGCTGGCGGCGATGGGACTAGCACCTGAGCGACCTTGCTCCATCTATGACCCCCTGTGCTCTCCACGCTATTGCTACTCAAACCACCACTGACTTGACGACACCACTTCTTCCACATGCATGCATCACCGATCTGTTGGGGAGGCCGGATCCCTACACCGGTAGTCGGATCTGGTTGCACCGCATCTGTACCCAGTTCATACCACTCCCAGGCGTCAGATATGCGGCATCGGGGTAAGCCTCGTCCAACTGGCCTTCGGCCTATGGCGGTCCCCGAAGTGGTGCGTGCTTTGTGCTGGTCGCAGTCTTTAGCGTGCAACTCAGATTGAATGCACCGATGTGCGGTGCCGCCTGCTTCCTCGTCCTCTCGACACCCTCCTCATCTGCCTCCTTCTCGTGCCCTCACGCGATGTGCATCTTGTCCGTCTCCCTACATCCTGCTCGGCTCCTGCCTCAGCTCCATCATTGTCCCTACATTGACTTGGCTACTAACATAGGTGGTGTCCCCACTCCTTCATGCATCTTGTCTGCAGCGACCACCGTGCAGGACCTGCTCGGTCCTGACCATGCTGGCGAGGGTAACGTGGATCTGATTGCGTTCGAGGCTGGGCACATAGTCGACATGTGCCTCAGCTGTAGATCCACATATGCTGCCCTCGGCTTCAACCTCCCCTACCACATTGCACTTGCGTACAACCCCATCGAGCCCCCCAACATTGGGACCACCAGTCGTTGATCTGCAAACATAGCGGCTTTTGCGACCTGTTACCATCGGGCTGGATCATGTCTTGTTTCGAGAGTAATCCTTGTTGCTCCAAGCGTCAGTTGACCACAACAACTCTAAGCCAGCGTCGCTTTCCTCCCTCAGGGCGTGGTCCTTAAGCTATACCTGATCCGCTAACATCGTCCACATACATTGTTCACCTTCGTGAAAGCTTCATTGTGAGCCATTCGCTGCCATCCATCCGCCCTACCCTTTGTGTGTTGCGTCGCCCTGGTGATGCTTGCTCAAGACCCTCTCATGGTTATCATTGTCTCGCGGTGAGCTTCGTGCTCTTGGTGTTGTCTCGGTTCATCTTTGCTCAATGATGATGCAAGATGCCTCACAAGCTTGCTAATCATTCTAATTTTCTGTGGCGGAGCTTCAAGTCAAAGTTCGTATTTGCTATGGCACTTGTTGATTGTGGACGCTCCTGAGCCGGGTTGTTTGCAAAGTCTTGGTGTTGTGATCCCTCGTTGACGCCCAACATCTAATTGTGTCTCTTGTGGTGATGGTTTTTTGTCTGCTAGCTAGGTCGTGCCTTGTCCCGAGCATCCTTTTTTCTCATCTTCTTTTTCCTTTGTTCCTGTACAATTTTTGGCCCGGGTTTCCTCATAAATGGGGTCAACTTGTTAAAGTTTTCGATCCAGTTTTCAAGCCAAAACCAAAATGGGTGGCTCTTGCCTTTGGCCTCTTTTAAGCAATATATTCACTGGGGAAGCTCTCCTCCTGGTGACCGTTCAAAGAAAGATGTTTCACATTTTTCTTGTGAAGGTTCATAACACATGTGTCTACAACTCCTAAGATATTCAGATGCAAATCCGACTACTCATATTGGATTTGTCTTTTTATTTTGTTTCTCGATGTGTACTTCCGATGTTGGCTCTGATATTTTTTAGTGGTTATAAAAACATATCTTTTGAACATTCATCTTTTTATGATTTTTTAAAAATATTTTTTTTCAAACTGAGAGCATGAGAGCATTTTTTTTAGAATGAAAAAGAAAACAAATTGCTAGCGAAAAAAAAAACCCCGAATGAAGACAGTGCTGAGGAAGCAATGGTGCGTGAGGGGTCCTACGCGGAAATTGCTAGCGGAACTCTGAAACTTGCGCCGCTTTAACCACTCTCGTGCGGCCTTCGTCTCCCCTCCCTCCAGATCTCGCCAAAACTCTACCCGAACGGGTGCGCTCCCGGCATTTTCTCCACAGCCCTCGTCGCGGACGAAGGCAGTAGATCCGGCGGACGGCGGCCCGGCGCATCTCCTCGCCTGCGAAGGTATAATTCCCCAACCCCTCCC